ATATATCTTTCTTATATAGAGAAACCAACACGCAATTATACACGCAATTCTACACGTGCGTATCTGGCAGTTAATTCTGGTAGATCCAGATTATAAATCATATGACGTGATAATACGCGTAACGCCAATATCCCGTATCCCGTATGTCCTACTCATTATCAAACGTATTGTACATGCGAAACTATCTACTCGTTATTGTCAGCGATCTGTCTCGAGTGATGGTACAGGCATTTGGAATATCTCCGATGATTTACTTGCTCGTCTATCGATTTGTCCATTACGTGGCATCAATCCCTATTGTGGATTTTATATCCATTAGCTTTCGGATTCGCAGCTCGTAAGCCGACGGCCTCGCCGTCGGAAGGGCTTAAAGAGAATTAACTTATATAAGTCGGTTAGCAAAAAGTGCCTTTTGATTTCGTGATCATCGTGCTTGTGTCGGCTATGTCTCCTTTCATCGAAAGGATTCATTTCGCTGATAAATCACTTTTATAAATTTCCACACGAGCCACGTACGAATTATGTGTGTGCTGCTGTGTAAATGAAGATCGAGCCTGCATCCCGTGTATAATTGGCCGAGAGATAAGAGGATAATATAATTTTATATCTCATTTTAGAATGTGGAATATAAATCCTGCACAAAATTCACTTATAACGGCGCACTGAAGAGTTGATAGAGAGCCCAAATTGTATTGGTTTTCGTTTTCGTTTCAAGTATACTTTGGTCCTTTTTACTTGTGAAACTTTGGCGAAATACAAATTTATAAAGGAGTACGTGCTACAAAGCTGAATTGATAACGCATCGTTTTTAGTACATTCAGAAAGTTTTTACGGTGTGAAATACTTGAAAATATAACCGTTATTTCCCGTACCATTCATAAAAAGTTAGAAATCGAATATCGAATAACACCCATGTTCTCTCCATAATTAAATGACGTGAGAGAAATTGACTCGGCTTCAACGGAATCTTAATTTAAATATCAAGTATAGAAATGTTTGATCTTAATGTCGATGATGAGAATAAAAATAATGTTTAATTAGATTTTCATTCCCGATAAATCTATTGCCCTTTAAAAATGGGCAAGAGCATGTTT